TAAACACTAAGAGTTTGAGGTATGAATTAATTTCTTAGGGCTGCCATAACAAAGTACTACAAAGTGAGTAGCTTAAACAACAGAGATATATTGTCTCAGTTCTAGAGGCTGACTCTGAAATCCAGGGTGGCAGGACTGGTTCCTTTAGAGGGCTATGAGGGAAGTCTATGTTCCGTGCTTTGCTTCTCCCACAGCTTCCGCTGATTTGCCACCAGTGTTTGGCCTTCTTGGCATGTAGTGGCAGCATCACCCCAATTTCTGCCTTCATCTTCATATGGTGTTCTCCCTATATGCATGTCTATGTCCAAATTTCCCCTTTTTGTAAGGCCACCAGTCATATTGTATTAAAGCCTACTTAATTCCAAATGTGACCTCATATTTTTTATTTTTATTTTTTTTACATTTTTTTTTCCTGGCTTCCTTATTTGTCTTTTTCATGTTGAAATTCTAGGACCTTAAATTTATTTTTGGAAGATATGTTGACTTTTCATCAGAAACACAACGGATCATGTAAGTGACAGTGATAATCTCAAATTATGTTTGTTTTTATCTGTTATGAATTTATCCTTTTAATCCAACATTTTTCTTTCAGAGATAAAAATTACATGAAGAAGTTGATCTGTTGTACGATTAATCTTTTAGATGCCTAGAACAGAAGTTGACAAACTTTTCTGTAAATGGGCAAATAGTAAAAATTCAGTATTTTTATTTTATTATAGACCATACTGTGTGTGTTGCAGCTACTCAGTTTTGTAGTTGTAGTGTGAAAGTATCCATAAATAATACCTAACGAATATTCATGGCTGTGTTTGGATAAAGTTCGTTATAGAAACAGACCTTGTGGTAATTTCTTTGTCCCAATTCTCCCTCTAGAGCTGTGGTTCTGACTTTAACATCTCAAACTTTAAACATGAACTCGAGAGCTTAGTAAAACAATTTTCTAGGCTGATCCGCAGAGAGTCTGGTTTTCTAGGTTTCATGGGTAGGGACCACAAATTTATGTTTCTAAAAAGTTCTTGGATGATGCAGAAGCTGCTGGTCCAAAGACTCTACTTTGAAAACCATTGTTTTAATGATTTATCCAAGAATATATAGCAATGAGGCAAAATTTTTTAGATTCTTAATCGTGGCAGTAAATTCTCCTCTTTTAATTGAACTGCATTACGCCAGGCTCCAAATTTTATGAAAGCAAAAAGGAGGGATTTGATTTGTAAGTGACATAAAAGCTAATGTTTGGAGTTAGAATTTCATTCTTTAAAATTCCATATATGTTAATTCCAAAGTAAGAGAGACTCCTTGTCATATAAATTAAAAGTAGGAAGAAGTAGAAAAGATAAGGTAAGAGACTTTTGAGTGCAGGTAAAATAGAGAAGTGACTCTAACTAGTTAATTGTGTTTTAATTATCAAGTGAAACCAATACTTTAAAAATCTTATCTTTTTAAATAAATATGCACAAGTAGAACCATGTCTTAAAATTCTCTATTTAGACTCATTAGTGGTAGATCTCTTTCCTTATCAGGATACCAAAAGTTTTTTGTTTTTTTTTTTTTTCCTGGCCATGCAAAATACTGGATCTTTGTTGTCATCTTTGAGTCATGATTATAAAAAAAGGAAAAATGGTTGTATGTGCATATGTATATATAAATACATATGTGTATGTGTGTATATATAGATGTGTACATTCTTTCAATTTCCAGTAATGCCTATAATTAGAATTCAAGGGCAAAAGTAATTCTATGTAGAGAATAGGGAAAGCTATAGACATCAAAATGATGTGTTTCCCAGGAGACTAGTCATGTGGTTTTTCAAGAAACATTTTAGTACATTTTTTAATTGATACTTTTTTATGTTTTATGTTCTTTTTTTGGTCCCATAGACTAAATAGTAGACACTATTAAAATTACAATCTGATTTTTCTAAGTAGTTTTTGAATATAATTTTCTCTCAAAAATTTTGAAAAATGAGTACACTGTGAAGTAGTAGAATACTATATTAGGTTTTTGTTTCTGTCTCTGACTTTAGACTTTAGCTGTCTGCTCTGAAGAGTCACTCAGCCTCTCTAGGCATCACCTCTGAAATGATGATTGTGATAGATAATCAGTGAGGTTCCTTCCTTCTCTGAAATTCTATAATTGCTTATAATAATATAATGAATTCTATAATTGCTTACAATTGGCTCCTGTCAGCCCTTCTATTTTTGGTTGTATAATTTGTTTATTGTCACTTGAGCAGATAGTACTGAAATGACTGCAAAAAACTTTTAAAAAATATAGATATGAAATAAAAACTTAAGTTTGCTTTTATAGTTACTGGTAACATGATTTTAAACCACAGAAATTCATTTGTGATAGTTAAAAAAAAATAGATATACAAATGCATCATCAAACTCATATTTACCTATTTGTAGAATCAATTTTAGAATAGAATACAAAATATAATTTTAGAAAAACTGAAGAAGTAATGTGCTAGTTAGAGAGTATAGTCATTTTTACTTTGAAATAGCAAAATTTTAAATTGTGCAATGCATTTTCATTTATGTCAAAATTGACATTCTTTGAAATCAAAACTACTCTTTCTTCCTTGACTTCTAGGTTTGATATACGCTTGATGAAAGAAGGTCGCATGAAGGGACAAGCTTTCATTGGACTTCCAAATGAAAAAGCAGCAGCAAAAGCCTTAAAGGAAGCTAATGGATATGTTCTTTTTGGAAAACCCATGGTGGTTGTATCCTTTAAATCAATCTGTTTCAAAACTATATAATTTTTAGAAGAAGGACATAACTGACACTAATTTTTGTTATCATTTAGAAATTCCAACATTGGCATTTTAGCTTAAGATATTCAGTTACAGTTAAACATGCCTTAGCTGAGTCGGATGAAAGATAATTTAGATTTTTACTGTAAAATAAAAGAACTTCAGCAGCATGAGGTTGTTAAATTTCAGCCAAGTTTAAACTTTTATGCAACTCAAAGTATATACTCATGCTAAGCCTAAGAGACTACAGTATCCAGAAATACATTTGGAGTCATTAAATAAAGAACTCATTATAGTTTTAT